GATCTAGAGTTATAGATCTAGTGACATATCTATAGTTATAGATCTAGTGACATATCTATAGTTATAGATATAGAGTTACAGATCTAGAATTATAGCTCTAGTCTGGAACAAACTTCCAGAAAACTGTAAAACAGCTGAAACACTGAGATCCTTTAAATCCAGACTAAATCCCACCTGGTTAGTTTTATTTGAAACGTGATCAATGATCAATTTATTGACGGCATCGACTTAATGTCACGTTTTGATTGTTGATTCTCTGCTGCATGACTTTGTGTTATGATGTAAAGCTCTTTGAAATGACTTGCTGCTGAAATGTGCTATACAAATAAAATTTGATTGATTGATTGGCGTCGCCACGGCGACCAACCAGAGAAACTTTGAGGCAGACGGAAACTAACAGAGTCCCTCAAATTAAAACAATTTGGGATATCAGAACTGACTCCCAGAGACGGTGTCCCACACCCTGAGACGGTGTCCCACACCCTGAGACGGTGTCCCACACCCTGAGACGGTGTCCCACACCCAGAGACCCCAACCTTTTTTGGATGTTTGGATGAGATGGATCCGGTATCAGAACCTCTGATACTGGTGCTGATGCCACACACACTTTGGCAGATCTGTTTTACACTCCCGGAGAAATGTTCTGGTGGTTCTGATTAAGGTTCTGCTGTGTTTTACAGCACTGGACCCCCGGCTGACCAGGACCAACATGTCTGGTGAGAGACTTCACACTTAAGCAAAACTTTGGTTCTGGTTCTACTGAAGCCCTTATGCTGAGGCTCAGGAGCAGAAACTGGGTCTGGTTCTGGAAGAGATCCGGTTGGATCCGGGAAGAACCGTTCATCCAAACGTGGTTGATTTTTCAGAGGAAGCTCCAATCAGCGTCCACGTGAGGAAGAATGGCCGCATTGATTCTCCCGGGTTCGCCAACGCCCCCTACGCCCCCAACATGGCCCAGAAGTGGCGGCTCCGAGCCGACCCGGGTCACCGAGTCCGCTTGGACTTCCACACCCTGATCCTGGAGGACGACTGTGAGCAGGACTTCATCCAGATCTATGACTCACTGGCTCCCATCCGGCTCCGCCTCCTCACTGAGTGAGTCCCGTTTTTTCTTTCCTCACCTGAACCGCAGGTGAGTGACATCACTGGTGGGCGTGGTCAGAGGAGTAAACAGAAAGGCTCTGGTTCCGGCTCAGATGCCTGAGACATTTCCTCTAACAGGAAGTAGCTCCTTCTTCTTCCTGGAGACGTTTTCTCTTCAGAAGGTCTGGGTCGGCTGAGGTCTCTCTGTCTCCCCCTGCAGGCAGTGTGGATACCCGCATGGCTCCCTGGCCTTCGTGTCGTCTGGGAACGTCATGCTGCTGATGCTGGTCACCAGTCAGGACAAGAACTTCCCCGGATTCAGAGTCTTCTACTCCCAGGTTCCTGCAGCCAGCGGAGGTAAGAAGTTCAGATGAACCCATTCGTTTCTGGTGAACTGGTTTGTGTTCATAGTTCACCAGTGATGTTCAGATGGTTGGTGTTTTTGGGTTTCCTCTTGTTGGACCTCCTGGTTCTGTCTGGTTGTGGGGTCAGTAGCTCCTGTTCTCTGTCCAGTCTGACATTTGACCTTCTCTCAGATTGCGGCGGGACACTGAGAGGAGAACGAGGTTCGTTCTCCTCGCCGTTTTTCCCGGCCAACTATCCTCCCAAAGCGGACTGCAGCTGGAGCCTCCAGGTGAGTCCTGCAGCTCCGCCCGTTCGTTTCTTCCAGGATTACAAGAAACGAATGATAAAAACCCACAAGATGTCTTTTATTGGACTAAAACCCAAACAGCCCTGGGCTGCGGTAACGTCGTTTACTTTCAGGTTCCTGAGGGAAGGTTTGTGAAGGTCCAGTTCCAGAGGTTTTCTGTAGGGAAGGACGGATCGCCGTGTCTCCATGACTACGTGACGATTGACGAGAAAAGGTAAGGAAGCTTCTGGCCTATGGGATGTTCTGAATGGTCCGTCCGCAGAACCCGACTGGATCTCCTCTTCCAGATTGTGTGGCAGCCAATCAGAATCCTCCGTGTTCATCAGCCAGAGCAACAAGATGAGTGTCGGCTTCAGGTCAGACCGGGGGCTCGTCTACCCGGGCTTCAGCGCCCGGTTCGAGGCCTTCGTCCCCACCGACCGTAAGCACATCATTTTATAATAATGACAATAATAGTAATGATCATAATAATGATAATAATTATTATTATAATGATAATAATTATTATTATAATAATGATAATAATTATAATGATAATAATGATAATTATTATTATTATTATGATAATGATAATAATAATGATAATAGTTATAATTATAATGATAATTATTATTATAATGATAATTATAATGGTAATAATAATAATTATAATGATAATAATTATTATAATAATTATTATAATAATAATTATAATAATGATGCTGTTCTCTCGTTGAGCAGCTTGTCCTGGGAAGTTCAGGTGTGGCACCAACCTGTGCATCAACACGACGCTCCGCTGCGACGGCTTCAACGACTGCGGCGACAACAGTGATGAGATCGACTGCAGTGAGTCCACACGGCTGGTCACGTCGCCCCCTGCTGTCTAGGAGGAGCAATCAGTGCAGACAGTGACTTGCTGTTGTGCTGGCTTTCTGCTTACCTTGACATTGGAGTTATGAGCTGAATTTGACGCGGTGACTGATTGATGACGAGGATGACCTGAAATTAATGGATGAATGGAATCTGATCTGTAAACATGTTTATAAAGTGTTTTTGGTCTGCTGCGGACCCGAGGGCTGATCCTGCTCGTTTCTGTCACAGCCTGCGCGGCGATGCAGATGAAGTGCAAGAACAACATCTGCAAGGCAAAGTTCTGGATGTGTGACGGCGTGGACGACTGCGGCGATAACTCTGACGAAGATGGCTGCGGTGAGGAATTCCTCTGGACCGATGCGAGCGGCCGGCCCGCTCAGCCTGCAGAACCGGAACACCCGCCGAGCGCCGGTGTTCCGGTTCTGGTTCCAGAGGTTCCTCTGAGCTCAGTGTTTCTTCTTCTCTGCAGGGAAATGCGGCGCCGCAGAGTTCTCCTGCAGGAACGGCCGCTGCGTCTCCAACGCGCTGCGATGCGACGGCAGAGACGACTGCGGCGACGCCTCCGACGAGTCCGCATGTCAGAAATGTAAGGACACCAGAAACGGGTCAGAACCAGGTCAGAACCGGTTTGGACGGCATTGTGCTGCAGGAGACGTACAGTGAGGTCGTCAGGGATGGACATACTAAGGTGGCGTTGACTGGATGCTCAGTTGGTTCTAATGGGCCCAAAGTGCCCAGTAGAAATCCAGGCTCATCAGACCAGGCAACGTTTTCCAATCCTCTCTTGTCCAGTTTTGCTGGTCCTGTGTGAACTGCAGCCTCAGAAAGGAGGCGCCGGTCTGGTCATCTGCTGCTGTAGCCCCTCTGTCTTAAGGTTTGACGTGTTTTGCATTCAGAGACGCTCTTCTTCACTCGTTAGAACTCGGTCGTAACAGCTGGTTATTTGAGTTTCTGTTGCCGTTCTATCGGTTCAAGCCAGTCTGTCCGTTCTCCTCTGACCTCTGACCTCTGGCATCAACAAGACTTTTGCGCCCACAGAGCTGCCGCTCACTGGATATTTTCTCCTTTTGGACCGTCCTCTGTAAACCCTGGAGATGGTTGTGGGTGAAAATCCCAGTACATCAGCAGTTTCTGAGACACTCAGGCCAACAGCCATCAAAGTCTCTTATCTCCTTTCTTCTCGTTTTGATGCTCAGTTTGAGCTGCAGCAGGTCGCCGTGGCTACCACAGGTCACCAGGTATTTTACTGAAAATATTCAGTAAAAAACGGAATATTTTCCGTATTTTACTGGTTGTTTTTTTAAACGATGGGAAAATTGAAAGCCCATCTGTCATTTGACAGGTTATAATTCACACCCCAGGCATTAGACTTAACCCAAAGAGTTCATCACAGAGGCACTGAAAACCAATCAGTGAAATAATCCTTTCTGAAAATCACCTCCTGGACTCTGAACTAACTGCGTCTCTCTGACCGGAGCTGACGGCCTGTTGAAGAGTTACGGACCGGAGGCTTTGGAGCGTCTGGTTAGGAAGAGCGTTCAAAACCTTTGGTAGAAACGGAGCCTTTAATTCCAGACCAGAGAAAACTGAAGAGATGCAACGTTGAGTTAATCCATTTATAGTCTAAAAGACTATAAATAGTAGTTTATCCTGAGGAAAAAGGCGCAGAATTTCATTAGACCGTAACATGCACAGTGCGCTGCGCAACCGATGCGGACGCGAAGAATTAAACTGAACTCATTCACCTCTAAAAACTATTAAAAATTGAAGTGATAATCCTTTAAATCAGTGTTTTTCAACCTTTTCTGAGCCAAGGTACATTGTTTTAATTGAAAAAA